GTGCAAATGTGAGACCCTGGGTGTAATGATTGTTATTAACTACTCAAGTTTTGTTTTTCATTCCGTTTATTCCTACGAGGATGTGCACTATAATTTTGTGTGTTGCTCGGTAGCGACGCCTGTTAAAATACGTTCATGGAAACAATACGAAAGGGGGCTCAAAATCGTCGTTGCCCTCTCCCCCCCCCCCCCCCCCCCCTTTCACCCCCATCTCCTGAATAGTTCCGACTCATCTGGGCGTCATACGAAGTAGAGATGTCCCTGTAACTAGAGATCGTACCTCGACGGTGCACCATAACAATAAACCGTTCGGCCCGCGTCGCCAACTCCCATTGTGAGTATTTCTACGATTAAACGATGATACTTCTATGCCCAGGGTCGCCCTCGCTCGCGCATAGAAACCCTCCGTTAGTCATTCGCAGAAGGCTGTCATTCTTCACAAACAACAACACGCGAAGAGTAAGCACTGGTAAACGTCCTCAGGAAAGGCGCATTCCCACCGACAATGTAAGCAGTCGCGCGATGCGACTAGGTCGCATCGCAAAACAATTAGATGTTCACACGGGCGTGCGCGATGGCGTGCGCGATGAGCGAGTCCAACGCCTTCGTTGGCGAATCGTTTCTTGAAAACTCTCACTCCGAACGCCGTTGATTGGCTCAGCCGCTCCGCGACTAGATCGCATCGCAAAAAAGTCGGGTCGAGTAGCGACTGCTCAAATCGCGTCGCTTTTTGCCCGCGATGGTCGCTTTTGCGATAAAAGTTATCGCACGACTAGATCGCATCGCCGGTGGGAACGCGCCTGAAAAGTGAACATGCCTCTGATTTTGATTACCGGTGACGCTGGCGACGAACCTCTCGGCGCTGTTGACGCAACAACAGGTGCCATGAAGGCGAATAAGCACGCCAGAACAATTCACACTTTCAATAACAAACAAATTAGGAACTCACTAAAGGGAAAACAATGAAGATACGATGCACGGGGTCAATGGTGACAACGCGGGAGCTTGGAACAACGCTGCTCTCCGCATACCAAAATGGGCGCACAACAACCGTACGCCAGACGGCGCGGCTGTCGCTGCGACACGCAAGATGGCGACGACTACGCGGAAAAGGTGTATATTTTCTTCTATCGGTTACTGCACAACAGCTGTGAAAAGCACAGACCAGGCTTACTCTTTTGCAAGACAAAAAAATGTCTGCATATCTGCTCATAACGACAGGGACAACAACTGTTGAATCCTGTACTTAGTCGGTAAACCATAAACTTTTGCCAGTCTTGTTGGTATGAAACTTCATGGCTCCTAGTCACTCAGAAAACTTAAGTGCTCTCAACTCGGCATCGTCTGCTTTAACCCCTTGCTTACTAATTATGACTGTCACTCGTGCCACCTCTTATAAAGCATAGATTAACCGGGAGTGTCACTCGTGTTTCTGTTTTGGCACTTGTTTAACGCCCTCTCCTGCAGATGGCAAAACCACCCCTGTTGCTCCATTTACCTTTGGTTGTGCACTTGTCTGTTCTGCTGTTTGAAAGAGAGAGAATGCTCCACTTAACCAAGAAGAAAGAATCGGTCGCTTGTAAGTGTTCTCGCTAAAACGGGATAGCTTTGGTGCGCAGGCCCGCTTTAGCTGAGGAAGAGACACGAAACCTTCTGTTACAGCGAAGCTGTTAAGGGCTAGGTTCCCCAGGATCATGTCCAGTATGTTGACACATACCTACCTAGACAGCTACCGCCATCTATAAGCGACGGCGGCAAGCACACAACCAGTATGGTTGCTGCTGTCGCTTATAGATGGTGCGAACCTTTTCAGCTATCATAGAAGAATGGATAGTTGGGCGGCGCGTTGGTGAGAATTCATCGTAGGAAACAGCCCAACAAACAGACGACGACGAAGAAGCACACATTGTATCGAATGCAGCTCCGCTGGTTTTCCTTCTTCACGAGAGTGGAAGGGCTGAACAATCTTTTGAAAGTGATTAATGCTCGGGCATGTGTTACGACAAATCTCTCAGCCTTTTCGATTTCTTTAGAACCAGCTGTGATACTTTGATGGACAGTGACAGAAGTGATGAAAATGGTGTGACTCCTGCTAGCATTCAATCAACTTCGGCGTCTGCATGTCGGTGAGACTCAGACCAGAGGTCCTGATTTAGAGCAAGATATCACACGGGGAAGCCGAGAAAATGTTTTGTCTTATTTTAATGCAAATTGCCCATTTAAAATAAAAATTTGCTGTATGATCCCTTAAGAAAACAAAAATGAATAGGCAGGGGTTAAAAGTACTACAAAAAATTAGTCATTAGAAGGCATTCTCTGGAAAGGGAGATGGCAGAACGAATACGTGCTTAATTTTGTTTGGCGATCTTAATGTTTCATCGCAAACACTACTTTATGCAAATTACACGGTCATAAAAGCACTCGAAAAGAGAACCAAAGTGCATTACTCATGAGGTCAATCAGCCAGCTCAAACCATACTTTCACACTGCCCGTTTGAGTTGCTGGGTTGAAGAGGAGAAAGACCATGAAAAGCAGTCGAAAGATGATTCAGACAAAACTAAAAGAAGTAAAACGGAACAGACGAAAAAAAAGAAACTTATCTCCAAGCAGCATCCTGCTAGACTCCGTTTCATCCATGACAAGCCGTAGCGGGTGCTACGAGCCATCCCAGCCAATCCAGTGCTGTGGATTGGCTGGGATGCTCTCTAAAGTCACGACACTCTCTAAGGTAACATGACACTCTCTAAGGTCACATGACACTAACAAGGCATTGGATTGGTGAAATGGGAGCACAACGATAAGAAATATTTGGCGATTGGCATCCAGTTGCCCGGTGACTCGTCGCTCGTGCCTTTGTGGCGCCGCTTTAAGTGTTAGCCACCGCAGAATAAACATATGCAAACAAGCCATCAGTATTTTTTTTTTATCTTCGTGTGTATGCATTTTGTCTTCTCCTTTCCTGGGTTGACAACAAAAAAGCAAACAAGAAAGGGCTCTTCCGCCTCTTGGCTTAGTCAGCTAGAGGTACACATCCGACCTGGCGTCTTGCCGATGCCAGGTAATGCTGCACATAGGCACACAATTTATTTGTCTTTAATTACTTATGAATTATTTCCAGGTCACTGCCATTCATTAGGGCAACACTGCGCCACCATGCCCACCCGCAGAAACGATTGCAGCTCAGATTTCATTATGCCTAACCGTTTACAATGAACCGGTAAACACTACATGAGATAACACTTTTGTTCCGGTTCAATAAAAAATTAATTGTTTTGATTTGGTATAGGTTTGGTTCGACACCCTGCTCTGAAGGCTTAAAGGGATGGTGAACCGAAATTCGGATTTCATAAAAACAATGCAACGCAGGAGATGTAGGTGGGACGCTACAATCCCTACAACACTACTTGTAAGGCGATATCTCGAACGGACGTCTGTATTTTTTAAAAACGAGGTCGAGATTGAACCAGGTACGACGAGGCGCGTGACGTGAACATACCTTGTTTCCTCCTCTCTTCGCTTCGCTCCCTCAAGGAGGCGAAGCGGAGAAGACGCGAGGCCGTTCCCTCTCCTTCTCGGAGAAGCATGACGTGAACATTTCTATCAAATGCGCCTCCTTTTTTTTTTTGAAATATACGGTCATCCGTTTGAAATATCGCTGTATGAGTTATGTTTTGGTGTTTGTAGCATCCCGTTGTACGCTTTCGCCGCCGTGCTTTGTGGAATCCAGGTTTCTGTTCAGCATCCCTTTAAAAGGGCACTGACGCATCAAAATCATATTTTTTTTTATTATCCGAAACGTTTGAAAACGATGCCGGGACATTACGCTCAAAATTCGAAACTTGGGAATTCAGTATTTGTGAAGTAAAAAAACAATTTCCAAATGTCGAATTGAAGTTCCCGTGCGAGTCGACTTTCTTTCGGACGTCTGCTTCATACTACAAAGCAAAGCGCCGTTGCCACCGTGACCCAAAGCGAGGTGGGAGAAAAGGGCGCCGGCGAACCGGGAAAGAAACGGTTTCTTCCCCTGACTTACCGATCATCCTCTGCTCGAGCGCTGCCAAGTTTTCCGAGGGAGGATACAAATCCAGGAAGCGACATCACACCGGACTCTGATTTTGGTATTTCAAAAAGAAGGGCCGTAGTGCATTCACAATTGAGTTACAAAAGATGTTTTACGATTGCCGTTATAAAATGTTATAGAAATGCCACCTACAAAGCTTCCAAATTTCATGATTTTTTGACATCGCCAATCAAAAGAAGCGAGGAGTTGAGCAGCGGGGGAGAAAAGCGCTAAAAATTAAAAAAACGTGCACGCACGCGAAAAAAATTTGTTTTTTTCGATGCGTTTTTTTTTTTGCGTGTTTATGGCTACAACTTGCATCGTTTTAGACAATAAAAAAAATACTACCTTTGGGCATTTACAACATGCAAAGAAGTTTGTGAGGGGGATCCCTTTCACACTATTTAGCCTGTCGTTTGAGTTGTGAAAAAGAGTACATTTATCATATAATGGATGAACTTGCATTGCCTACATCATGGTGCAGCAATGGCTCATTTGACACATCAGGTTAAGAACTGTGAGCAAAAGATGCATGGCATTGCCAATTGGGACAGTCTAACATCTAGCTGCAAACATGCCCTTCACTTCAAATGAAGCATGTATGTAAATCTTGCAATCATCCTGGGCGTGTTAGGAAAGGTGTCAAAAGCAAGTTATACAAGGGAGCTTGGGGTGTAATGAGTGGATGTTTGCACTGCGGACGTAAGGGTCACTAGAATAACTCCCTCTCCAACTGATTTCATTCAAACACTCCTTTTTGCGTAGAAGTTTTTAACCACCACTGAGTAATGAGTGCTACAGGCCCCTAGTTGGCAGTTGCTATGCACTGGCCTCTGAAACACTGGAATATAGCACCACATCTCGAGGTAGATATTTTAAAATCTTTATTTATTAATAAGATGCGCACAAAGCCTAACACCCGAGTGTTCTCTCCCACAGTGTCCACAGTGGACTGGCTGCTGTCGGACAGTTCTTCGGGAGAGGCCAGTGCAGATGAACGTGCCCTCGCCCTCACCTGGCGCGTCACCGACGGCGTGCTCTCCCAGTCTCCGCCCGACTCCGGCACTGTCGCGCGGCTGACTGTCTTCCGCCAGACGGTGCGCCGGGATGGCACTCCACCCCTCGAGGCGACCTCCTTCTACCTCGGACTGTGTGAAGCCCTTGTACGCCACTTTCTGCTGCCGGACTCGCCGGACCGTCCATCCGCGAGTCTAGCCCACGCTCTTTTTGTGCGCGGGATGGCCCTGCGTCTGGGCCAGCTCGCCCTCGGGACGGTCTATGTCCGGTCAGAAGAGAGCGTCAACGCCACCGAGTATGTCGGCCTCGGCGCCGTCAGCCGGGAGTTCCTCGAGACGGCCTTTCGGCTGAGCCCGCGAGCGCGGGCACGCTGGGCGCAGCTTCAGGAGCGACGGCCAAGCGAGGCCCTTCAAGACCTCGGGGAGGACATGGTGTCGGGTGGGAAGCGGAAGCTTCAGCTGGCGCCGGTCTTTCTGGAGGAGGTCAAGCAGCAGCTGGCCTTGCTGCTCCTGGCGCGAGAGGCGCTGGGGAGTAGCTTGCACTCGTGGGTGGAACGGGGAGACCGCGGGGCACGGGCCGCCCTCGCATTCCATGGGTCGGTGGCCGGCGTGGCCCTGGCGGCGGTGCTGCTGTGCCTGCTCGTGGTGGGCTGTTCCCTGCGGGGGCTGGGCTCCCGATCCTCGGGGCCCCCCGACCTTGCTCCGATCCTGGTGCCGCCCGAGAAGTCTCACTGTTACATGTAATTGATCGGCCGTGGAAAGTGGTGCTGAGTTACGATGCTTGCAGCTGAGGTGGGAAAAAATTGCTTTGAGAGCAGTGGTGGGTGGCCCTTCTCATGAGCTTGTCTCTTCGTACAACGATGCTAGTGTGGCCCAAGACTTCCATTATGGAACTGAGGGAATGCTGAAGATGGAGGCTGGCACACTTACAACACTGAGAACACCCATGACTGGGAACACATAAAAAAAAAGAGCAATCTGAGCAAGTAGCAACATCAGTAGGTACTGTTGGCTGTGCTCTGATGGGCTACTCGTTTAACCAAATTTCGCCAGAATCACAAACGGTCGACAGATGTCAGATCTGGATAAAGAACACTTCGGCGCGGCGCCAGATCCTTCCCCGAGATAGCAGCGTCTCCACTCTTAGTTCATCACAACATAGCGACCAGTTGTTTCGGGCTGCTCTTTGACGTACATCGCACAGTAGTGATATACAACTGCTGGCTGTGTTGTGATGGGCTACTCATGTGACCAGTAGTTCATCACAACATAGCGAGCAGTTGTTTTCAGCAACTCTTTGACGTGCATTGCACAGTAGTGATACACGACTGCATGCCGGTACGATGTTTGGCCAAATCTGAATGGGCAGAGGTGGGGATTGAACTCAGGATCCCTGGGTTCTGCAGCTCGAGCTTTTGCTCCATGGGCTCCGAGCTGCATTGCACTGACACACACGGCCACCGATCCCCCCTCCCCCCTTGGGATGTCTGAGTTATATAGAACGAAACACTAATTACTCTACATTTGCATTGCATAGGTATAGTGTTTTGCAGCTAGATTAAGAAATATAGAAAAAAGAGTCCATGCCCAAAAGAAAGAAAAGTCTCCACCCTATTGTTTGTGGTGTTCCATCATTTACAGCTCTCTCTTTTTGAGTGCTGGCTGTTGTACAGTGGAGAGAACGGGGTATACTAGTCTCTTTGCCTCTCCTCCACAACATTTCAAAGCCCATAAAATTTTGCAGAAGTACTTTGGTGATGTGATTGTATGTATACCTTTATAGGTTGGGAGAGTACCTAGTAGGATGTTGAGCCACTGTTTCTTACATGTGCTCCCCTTGTGTAACTTGTCTGCAAAGCATTATGTTCAGTGTTATCAATCACGGTGACCATAACTCATCACACCAAGCAAGCAATTGAACAGTGTGTAAACCTATTTATGCGCACAATCACTGCCCCTACGAAGCAGATTACAATGAGTGAAACGGTAACAATGGCAACTTGTACCTTGTTGCTCAAGTTTTTTTATTGTTGCACTTCAATATCTCACCACTCCTAGCACCTGTACCCATCCTGTCTCAAGAAAGCCTTGACAAACAATTGTCTCCAAGCACAAGTTCGAGAAAAGGTACTATACGTATAGTTCTAGCATGTTGTAACTTTGCATGCAATAAGTCTATGCACTTTATTTATTGGGGTTGGGAGTGGATTTCTTGTTATTTATTCAAAATCATTTTCTGTGTTCACACCTTCGATGTAAACTTACTTTGTCATGTCTGCTGTAATTCACCTTTTTGTGTCTGCTGTAATTACACTCACCTTTTTGTATCTGTTCAATGCCAACCATTCAATGTTTGTTACCATCAAGGTCACATGGTATCCAAGAAAGAATTCCTTAAAAATCGTTGTTTTTGCTGCCTTTTAAACTAGCGTGGTATATTACTGCCCAAACAAGTGCCTGGAGCTTGGCATCCCCTTACACTTAATCCTTGCTCCCAAAGAATACCAAATGACCACCTGCAGCTATTTTCGAGAAGGAATGCTCCTTAGTTGCTTATGCATTGTTATGTATAGACTGCATGCATGCCACAGCTTGGATAAAGCAGACTATGTATGCTTCTACAACTATGCCCTGCCACCCTCGGTTTTGTATGAACAAATAAAGCTTGCATTATTACTCGTGTTGAACAACTTGTTAAGTGTGTTTATTGAAAATAGGTGCGCGGTGCCTTTTAAAAATATTGCAATTTTGAGCAGCGGCAGCCTCGCAACTCGGGCATGTATCGGGGGAAGAAGGTGCCCCCCCCCCCCCCCCTTTCCCGAAATCTTCTATTGTGCTGGGGCCTCCTCTCCCTCCCCCCTGCCTTACAAAGCATTTTGTCATGGGCAACCCCCCTCCCCCCCCCCCCCCCCCCAAACAAAATCTTGCCTATGTGCCTGTCGCAGGTGGCTGATGTTTTGTGGTGTGAAATAGCTTAATAGAACATCTCTAAATTACCTCTTAGAAACTGCAAGGCTCCGATTCAACAGCTTCTCATAGGTGCGCAGAAAATAGTTCAGCTAACTTCACTTGGAGAATTTTCACATTTATGTGCTTACGTCCCTGCTTTCAAAGGAGTGCTTCTGATAAGCAGGTAGGCATGATCTGACAAATTATCAAGAGTTAGAAGGAAAAGACTTTTGGACTTATATTTGTCTATGAAACTACTATTATAGCGGATGCATACATAAACTAGTAGTGTTGTATCATTTCAAAGAGCATTTAACATTACAAATTAAAGCAAAGGTAGAACGCTTGAAACACAATAGTTTGGAATAGTGTTGGCTATTCTATTTGTAGCTCAAACTTGCTGTTAAAAGTGTTCAAGATATTTTTTTTTATTATTCAGAGTATTTAATGCTTTCAGAATTTTCCAGTTTTCGTGTCAAGCTTTACTGCTTCACATCGGCGAGCGCATATCAACCTCCACTGCTTTGCACCGGTGTGCTAGGAGAAGTGTCTGACATATCTGAGCACCTTGGTGGGCTTGTTAGCCAAATGCGATGCTCTAGAAAATTTGGCTTACGATTGTAGGTCTGCCTTCTTTGGTTATAATTTTATTGTTAGATCCCTGATATTATATAGAACTGTGATGAACAAAAATGAAAGCCGTTTACAACTCCCTGTAACGCCGAATTAGAGCGCAGCTTTTGAGGAGGAGGAGGGAAGGGTACTGAGGGTCACGTTCTCGGAGCGGAGGGGGTCACATGACCTTGGGGAAGGGGGGCTCACATGACTCCCCAGAGAAATTTTTCCGCTAAATCTAGCGGGGAAAGTTTTCCGCTAGATTTAGCGGGGAAATTTCTCTGTTATATCTAGCGGGAAAATGTTTCCGCTAGATTTAGCGGGGAAACTTTTCTGCCAGATTTAGTGAAGAAAATTTTTCCATTAGATCTAGGGGGGAAATTTTCCCACTAGATTTAGCGGGGAAATTTTTCTGCTAAATCTAGCGGGGAAATTGTTCCGCTAGATCTAGCGGGGAAACTTTTCTGCTAGATTGAGCGAGGAAATTTTTCTGTTAGATCTAGCAGTGAAATTTTTCCGTTAGGTCTAGCAGGGAAATTTTTCTGCTAGATTTAGCGGGAAAAATTTTCCGTTCGATCTAGCGGAGAAATTTTTGCGCTAGATTTAGCGGGGAAACTTTTCTGCTAGATTTAGCAGGGAAATTTTTCCACTAGATTTAGCGGGGAAATTTTTCTGCTAGATTTAGCGGGAAATTTTTCTGTTATATTTAGCGGGGAAATTTAGCCATAATGCACCGTGCAGTTACGCCGACGCCGACGCCGCTCAAGCCGGAAACAAACGCCTAAGAGCTGCGCTTTAAAAAAAAACAAAGCCTCAAACTGTATTAAAGTGAGAAAAAAAGATACCTTGTTTATTTCAATGTATTCAAATTCTATTTGCCCACTCAGATTTTTATATTCACAATCGATTTGCAATAAAAAAATTTTAAATTTTCACACCCCTACTGGCAACAAGTGAATCTCTGCAGAATATACTAGATAAAACTAGGCACATTATTCAAGAATGGCCACCCAGAAGGGAGTCGAAAGAGGTAGAAGGGGTCCGGATGTCCTGACCCCCCTCTTGAATTCCGTATGTGTAAAAAATTAAGGCGTGGAAACAATGGAGGGAAGGGGGGGGGGGGAGGGTCTTAAACATATGATACGCTGACCAACACCTCACCCTTTACCCCCCCCCCCCCCCCCCTTTTGTACTGGCACAGCCCTATTGCACGCAATTAAAAAGCTCCCCCATGGATGCTATATGATAAACATATGTTTAGTTAGGAAATCAGGCTGATATAGATGAACATAAGAAAAAGCAAAAAAAAAATCTATACAATTTTTTTTTCTATATATTTTACTATTGGTTTCTCCATGACATGCCTAAATAACATACATGCAACATCATCAAGGGTGAGTGCTGAAGATGTTTATGCTTTTACAAGTATACTCTGATTTAGTGATGCAAAACTATTGATAAACTGACTATCGATTGTTCTTCCAAAACTATCGACAGTGTTGTAGCACTATCGATAATACTATCAATAGTTAGGGTGACCATATTATGGTGTACTAGAAGACTGGGCAGTGTAGCGAGCGCCGGCGGAGGGGGGGCTCTTTCAGCGATGACCGGATCGGTGGCCGCGAGAGGGCGCAACGTGTAGTAGGCGTGCTGCCGGAGTGCGGAGCGCAGGCAGCGGTAGCGCTTGGCTGGCTTGGCGTTCCGCACATGTTCGATTGTTTCGCATTGTTTGGCTAACTCTTTACGGTATTATTTATTTCTGCTGTTTCACATATTATTTATCACACTAATTCGTTGCCAAATGCTTTGCCCGAGACGTGCATCTTCGGGCAGGACGCCACAGTACGCATCCCGACACTGCTAGCGCGAACAAGACACGCGCGCTTTCTCGGATTTACTTCGAAAGAGCATTAGTGAGGACGAACTTTTATCACCTGCATTATAGACCCGAATGAGCTTTTCCCTCAGCAATTCGAACTTTGCTGAGATCCTTTGGTTTCTCATAGAAAAACCGGCGATCGCTTGTTCGCGCTGACAATGTTGCGTTCTGAATAGCTGCGGGAAATCCATGCCCCAGGGAAACGTTGGGGAAGTCTTTTGAAAGAGACGTCCCAAACGTGTGCTATCCCCTGGATAACGTAGGATAAGCATGCTGATGGCGTGATACCTAAACAAATGTGTGCTTTTGTGACCCTATAATTTCGCTGTCACTGTAGTTGCGATCAATGAATTCCGTGGTTGAAGCTCACTACCCTAATGAATTGTTTCAATGTTTGGGAAAACAAAATGGGGCTTACAAAACGGGCTATATCGTCTACTTCCGTAGGCTGCATGGAGGTGCCACTGCCGACTCACGCAACTACTTCCACGGGCTTTCGAAGGAATTTCCAGTACTAGCCTTTATCGTATTTGCTGTTACTACGTGGGGTCTTCAAACAGGATTGTGCGAATAGTTAGAAAAATGTATCCACTCACCAGCTCTGGTAGTAACCACAGTGTATATATATTCTTATTTATCCACTGAGCACCAGCTATATTGATATGTGTGGGCACCAGGGCACACAGATAAATTTTTAATTATACACTGGGCGCCAGCGCACAGATGAGATTAATGAGGTGCACCCAAGGATTTTGGAGGCGATGGTATACTTGCTTTTCCCAAGTGCTCGGGAGAGGGGGGCTCCCGAGCACCCCCGTTGTCGGCGCCTATGGCGTTTTGTACCTCTGCATTCTCCAACGTGAGGTCATGATCTTGATGAGCTTCGACAACTTCAAGATAAATGACTCAGTATCTTCCGCTGGGCCATAAGACCCTTCAAGTTTCTTGCGGTAAAAAAAAAAAAAAGAGGCCTCTTAGCACCTTTTCATTGAAGAGACGGAGTGCTGGGCCAACCCTTATATCTTTAAACCCGTTAGGAAAAAAAAAAATAATTTGCTCATGTGAGGCCATAACCTTTAACGTCATATTTTCACAGTCACTTCTCCAAGCCTTTCTAATGCGGTCAGCGTGCACAGGACCCTTCGGTGTGCCCAAACCAGTGTCTATAAAACCGATTTAGCAGATACTTTAGAGTGCAAAAAGTCCGGAAAAAAAAAATGTAGAGGACGACTGTCATGACAGCCTGCATTACATGAAGCAGAGTCTCCCTGTCACTCCTTTTAATGTTGCGGGACGACGACTGACGCCGATTGAACTCGAGAGGGGCACGAAAAAGGGAACGGGCTTCTTTGCAGGACCGGTATACAACCCGGCACGGGCCCCAGGAATTGAGGTTAGGGAGGGTGCTTTCGGAAAAACAAGGGGGGAGTACACCCCCGCTGAGGGGTGGAGGGAAATCACTGCCCCGACACAAAACACGTCCCGTCTCTCTTGTCCCGCCGTTTTTCTGTCATTGCACGCGTTGTCTACACCCTACTGAACGGCACCGATCACAATCCATTTCACTCAACCATTAAAAAAAAAAAAAAAAAACTGCAGCAAAACAAGGCGACGACGCGAACCACGCGATCACAAGCAGTACGACCACACGGCAATCCGAGCGGGAAGGAGCACGCCTGTTACCCGCAGCGCCCCCTGGCCTCCTCGCGCGCCGTCATCGCTGCGCCGACCTCCTCCCTCCGTTGCTTCTCGGCGCGGACGGCACACTGCCCAGTTCTAGTACACCATAACCATATTCCCCAAGGTAGAAAACGGGACATCTCAGCCCGGGAGGGGGGGGGGGGGGGGGGGGGGGAGAGGAGGAGGGGAGGGAGGGGGGCATACTAAAGATTGAGATTGGGAGAAAAAATTTAATGGTAAGAACTGCTATTTCAAAGCCTCAAAGCGTACTGAATACAGCACATGCGTGCTGTATTCAGTAACTAAAAAAAAAATATTTCTATTCAGGAGTCTTGATAAAAAAACGTGTTTGTAGGCAAGAACAGTTTTCTGAATTTCACTGGGTAAATATTTTAAAGTGCCTACATTCTTTTTTTTTATAATATACTTGTAACAAGTTGGCATAGTTTCTGCTTGCTTCAACTCACTTTGTGCCAATTTCGAAATGATGCGCTCCTGCGAAAACGGGACACGATTCCTTATTGGGACAAAAAGACGGGATGGCCGAAACGGACCTCAAAAACTGCACTGTCCCGGCCAAAACGGAACGTCTGGTCACCCTATCAATAGTTGACTATCGAAAGTACTATCGATAGTTTTTCGATAGTCGACTATCGGTAGTACTATTGATAGTTTTTCGATAGTCGACTATCGATGGAGAAATTTCTGGCGACTATCAATACTGTTGATAGTACTATCGGTAGTTTTGCACCACTACTCTGACTGCACTAATGTTCACATCGGGCAGATCATATTTTCGATGCCTTTCTTGCATGAAGCTTTACTGGTAGCGACATCAACACTGATGTCAATGTCACTAGCTTGTAAGTTGTAAACCACGTTGTAAACCATTGTTGTAAACACAAAAATTTCTGTAACCCTGTTGTGTAAACAATGGTGTAGAACTAGAAATACTTGTGCCAAAGTTCCCATTAAAACTCTACCCACTTTTGACCTGCCAGACAATCCAGATGCCCTTAATGTCGTCAAATGTCACTCTGATAATCTACCACTTTCAAAATGCTTGATTGTTATGTGCTAATGCACAGCTCATACAAAGACATCCTGAGCCAGTAATTTCTGAAAATAATTTATTACTTTCAGAGAAGTTCTAGGACACAAGGCAGGCTTCGTCACGGGTCTGTAAAGCACTGCCATCAGAACTCCAAAATTTAGTGATTCCTGATGAGGGTTTGTTCAGCTAGTGGTACAAACCTAAAAAAGGAACAATAGCTTCCGCTGCTGTACAGATGATAGGCTGTAGGTCATATTGAATGGGTTAAAATGGCGCAAAAGGACGAAGGACCAGTAAATGGAAACGGTGCAAAATGTTGTTGCAGCGTTAAAGCGGCGAAAAAAAGATGAAGGAAACACAGTCTGTGTGTTTCCTTCGTCTTTCTTAACTTATTCAATATGACCATCAACCAACTCGCCCAACTTTGCACTATGGTGTAATACGCCAAAACAACAGGGACAAAAAACGAAGGGAGAACTAGACAGGACGTCCTGTCTAGTTCTCCCTTCATTTCTTGTCCCTGTTGTTTTGGTGTATTACACCATGATGCAAAACCAACTAGCCATCCTTATCCAACTTTACACCTTGTTTTAGACTGTACGGTTGCTTGGAAGGGATCAGAAACACCTGTACCGAGCTCCATAATCACAAACTCCACCGCTTACAATTGGCAGTATACAACGTGCAATTTCATCAGCTTCACGCGCACCTCATGCTTTTGTTTCTCCCCCCAACCTCATAAAACGGTGCATGCTTGGCTGCCTCATCATCGCTCGTTCAACGCGCATTCCGTCATCCGTTGATTGGTGTGCCTTCTCGCTTTCCGATGTAACAAAGACATATTTTGGAACACTTGCTCGCCATATATGGAACCGTTGCAGAAAGTGTAGAGCATATTAGGCTGACAAACATAGATATGCTGACTGCTGCCATATCCCCAGCCTGGATGTCCGTGCCCAACTGCAGGCATTATTGACCAAAAACTCTCAAGAAAACAAATGAAGTGCAACCATTTTGGAACTAGAGTGATCAAGATTCTTGGTGGGTCTGCTACACATCTCAAATATTGAAAGTCACTGCCTACCCCTGAAAGGGGCATACGGTGGCCAAATTGTTATCAACAAACGAAGCCACTGGATCGTGCGTAATGGCGATAACTTAAAGAAGATGCTTTATTTCCAACTCCGAAGCTTCAGAAGGGGCGCCCGCGCCCTTCGTCGTCACCCTGCGACTTGGGTGCCTTGATGGTCTCGTCGACGGACAGCACCAGGCAGGCGGCCTCAGTGGCCGCCACCAGAGCATTGGTCTTCACCACGGCGGGCTCCCAGACGCAGGCCGCCAGGTTGTCCGCCACGTCCCCAGCCTGGATGTCCACGCCCGCCCACAGGTCCCCGGCGGCGTGGCGCTGCCGCAGCTTGTTCAGCAGCGTGGTGGCGTCCAGGCCGGCGTTGTCGCACAGCTGCCGCGGGATCACCTCCAGCGCCTTGGCCACGGCCGCCACAAGCAGCTGCTCCTTGCCGGCCACCGAGCGCGAGTAGTCGCGCAGGTGCTTGGACAGCGCCATCTCGATGGCGCCCCCGCCGGCCACTACGGCGTCGTTCTTCAGGGCGCGCCGCACGATCATGATGGCATCGTGCAACGAGCGCTCCGTCTCCTCAATGAACTGCTCGGCGCCGCCACGCAGGATGATGGTGACTGTGCGCGTCTCGGGGCAGCCTGTGAACAGGTTGTAGCGTTCGCCGCCGATCTGGATCTCCTCCAGGAGCTCGCAGCGGCCCAGGTTGGACTCCTGCAGGTCGAATACGGTCGAGAGGATGGCGCCGCCGCACGCCTTGGCCGTACGCCGGAGGTCCTCGTCGACGACCCGTCCCGCGCAGAACATGTCCCGGTCGGCGAAGAACTGAGTGGCCACGTCGCCGATGGGCAGCTTGGAGAGCACCACGCGGGCACCGCTCTCGTGGATCTTGCGCAGCTTCTCGTACAGAACCTCCCACTCGGCGTCCACCACGTTCTGGTACTCCTGCACATTTTGGACGCGCACCTCGGCGTTGTCCCGCTCCGCCTTGAGCTCCAGCTCCACGTTGAGCATCGCGATCTTGGGGTTCTCGTACTTCTTGGGCTGCATCTCGAAGCCCGCGTACGAGAAGGTCTTCTTGAAGGCGACGCCCGACACCAGCAGCGACTCCTCTAGTGCGCCGCCCTGCACCTTCTTGATGCCGATCATGTTGAGCGGGAGCAGCTCGTCTAGCTGCATCACGGCGTCCACCACCATCCGGGCGAAGAACTCCTTCTGGCCGGCGATCATCTTGGAGCTGAGCGTCGTCATGGCGCACTTCTCGAGCAGTTCCCGCTGCTCGCCGTTCTTCTCGACTGCCACCGCGATTTCGCGGATCCTGGAGACCGCTAATTGCGCCGCCTTGCGAAGGCTACGAATGATGATCTGCGGGTGGATGCCTTCTTCTATGTATGGCTTGCACTGCTTGAGGAACTCGCTGGCCAGGAGCACGACCGAGGTGGTGCCGTCGCCCACCTCGGAGTCCTGCGACTTGGCGATGTCCGTGAGAGTCTTGGCGGCCGGGTGCACGATGTCGAGCAGCTTCATGATCGTCGCGCCGTCGTTCGAGATGGTGGCCTTGCCCGAGTTGTCAACGATGAGCTTGTCCATCCCACGAGGACCAAGCGTAGTCCTAACCGCGTCCGCAATTACCTGGCAGGCATTGATGTTACTAATCACCTGGGACTTGCCCTGGGAGTTCTCTGTGCCTTCTTTCAGGAGGATTATCGGGGCCTGCATCGTGCGACGCCTGGCTGTTTGTTCTCGGGAAGATATCGAACAAACTAGAGCCGGGTGTGGAGGCTCCCTCAAAACAACGACGCCGGACAAGAAACAAAACGTGAGACAGCGAATACAAAACTGCGCATGCGCGTGAACCTCTGGAAAGTAGGCCTGCTCGCAAAAATGTTTTCTCCAAATTTGGGCAAGACCTGCAAAGCCCTAGCGGAAGCAGTGCGTCGCCCACGCGAAAAAAAAAAATTCAAAATTATTTTGAAAAGTAATTACCCTTAATTTTTAACTAGAAAACAATAAATCATTTACAGTATTTTATTAGAATTTGAAGCTTAGGCGTAAAGGGCAGTGCGTGTTTGCAAGTGTGACAAGTTACAACAAAAACTAACAAAAAAGGTAGTGCGCGAACGTGCGCGAATCACGATTGAGCAGGTGAAAAAAAAAAAAAAAGCCACGTGCAGTTTTGTTTTTGGGCCAAATTTGTGATCCGGTCACCTAAAATTCTGGACGGTGCGGTGCTTTGGGGCGTGTGAGCATACTTGTGGCGGTGTCATTGGTGTCATCGCTACGTTGGGAAAGGTACTGATTTGGCCTTCAGCTGTTCCGCATCAAGGTGCCCAACGAGGTGCACCCAGTTCCAAACTTCACGAGGTCGCGCTGAATCTGACTTGAGGCCGGTGGGCGAACTTCGTGCTTGTATATGCGTATAGTTACGGTCTGAGCAGAGTTATGTTCTTTCACTTTTCACTGTCAGCGCAGTGCTACCCCGTATGCGATATTATTCTTTTTCCAAAGTTACTTCCCCGCTGAAAGTAACGGAGTTCCAAATGTTCCTATACCCTAGTCTTTTTGAAGTTCCACTAGTACCTTTAATGGACCAGTACTACTTTTAAAAGCACATTAAACCGGCCTTGGAACCTTCGATTTATATACTCGGTGGTACAGCTTATTCGTAAATGTTGACCCGAATAATATGCGAAACTTCGGGGCCTGAAAATGGAAATATCTAGCTGCTGAGCTTCCCTAGCAGCCTACAAATTCAGAGTTTATGTTTGTATTTGCAGAACGACGTGCACAATGGCGACTGTTGTGGTCCTGGGTGGAGGAATCACTGGCCTCGCAACAACTCACTACCTCGCCTCCCTTGGCAAAGACGTCATCAAGAAAGTGAGAACATCTATATACATGGCTTGCATTGACGTCATCTCAGCCGCCATTACTCCATACCATGTTCTTGTGCCCATACCTTTTGCAGCGCACATTTGGCATCATCGAAACTGTTTTTCTCCACAACAGATTAGATTTTGCGAGACGTATAGTGCAGGAGGTAAGGGCTCAGGAGCATGGTACGGAGTGCTGGTGGCTGCTTCAATGCCGTATGACGTCGCATGCTAGGCATGTATACAGTAGATTCTGTTATTGGTTGAGCGTGTTGGTGTACGTCTTATTTACACCGGTTGTGAATCTGTTCTTGAGTGTTATTTGGTTTTACATAGGCGCCTACTACAGGGGGGGCGGGGGTTCCCCATCTAAGTTTGGCTCAGACCCTTCCTCCCCCACCCCAAAAAAATTATAATTTCTCGGGGGAGGGGGGGGGGGGAACTTTTCGTGGCAGCGAGAGAGCCTCGCACTCCAGTCTGAGTAGTCTGTAGCGGTGTCCACAATTGCCGATGCGTTGCATGTGGTCATCAATAACAACGTTTAGGTTGTTGAGCACCGTTGCAGGGGCGTTATTGCGATGCGTGGCTTTGGTAGAGTGTGAGGGCTCCTGCGTTATTGGAAGCTTTTTACTTCGGTCAACTTCGGCAGCGTCACCTCCAGGCGTTGCTGCACTTAGTTTTCCCGGCAGGAGACTGAGAATAAAAAAACAATAAATTCTCTAGTTTGTCGTATGCAATAGTAAACAAGTCAGCCCTGTACTCATAAGCCCGTGCTTTGTGGGCCTCGCAGAAAAATGGCGGCGGGGGTGTGACTGGGAAGGAGGGCGAGAAGGATTGCCCACGATGGAAAGGAGGGAGATGTGGGGAGAGGGGGAATTGCACTATATTTCAATATATAGGGACCTTAGCTTGAACGGGTTAGTGACACCAAGTGGCTGTTTCTATTTATTTTTTATCGTGGTATACTTGCATTAATATAAAAAATATAATGTAAATCTGCTTTTTAACATTGTTCCAACTGTGGCCAACTTGTTTCCAAATGATTTTGGTGCGACATGTGGGGTTTGGTAGCTAGTAACAGAGGTACCGAGATGTAATTGAAGGGTTATCTCAACCGCGGCGGCGATCTCGAAGGAGACGTCAAACCTAGTAGCACGGTCCGCACATCCCCACGGCAATATAGACAATGTTTAGGGCCATATTACCACGGGTCGGTTCAAGAAACTAACTCCATCGGTGCCAATGATCTACTACCTTGTCTCACTCTCTCGAATATAGCGGAAGAGAAGACACACATACCAGAGTAAGGATGGAGTCCTAGAGCATTTATTAAAACACCCTACTATACGAAATAATATGTCCCCATCCAAAATGCCCCCCACGCCGGCAAGGTAAGAAAAGATTTTTACCTGCCAGACGCGGGGTTTCGAAGAGCCAAGGGGGCGGGAAATCATTGAAGAAGTCGCCGATACACCTCCTATCTCTTTCACGGTCACCGGACGAGTCCCTCTCTCGAAAGCGGAAAGACAAGAGGCGAAATCTCCTCGCTTGTCAGCAGTGATCCAAATCCGAGTGGGGGACGGAAAGAGGTCCCCTGTGAGAGAATGAGAGGAGACAAGACAGGGGACCCTCCGCTTCACCAACAGGTCGGAGCTCACAGTGAAGGAGGCCGAGCGTTCTGACAGGCGGTTGTTATCACAGCCATCGGCGAAGGGACACCACAAGGATCCCCTCAGACGAGACACCGAAACCAAATCAAGCGCTGCCAAAAGGTGCTGGTGCAGCACTTACTGGCATGAACAGTGGCGCCAACGGCAAGGGCGCTTGGTCGTCTGCTTCGTCCATCGGGCGTCGTCGATACTGAGTTAGTTGGTGATTAGTGCTTCTAAAAGATGCCAGCTGAATGTAGAAAGATACACAAAGAGAGATAGAAAAGAAAATAAACACACTGCAGGACTATTGGTTATTTACCAAAATCTTTTTTCACACCCATTTGTTTTATATCTCAGAACTAATGGGTGTGGAAGAAGAAAAGTTTCATCTTCAGTAAATGGTTGCTTGTCCAGCTGTTCCAAGCATCTTTCTACGGAAGAGGAGGGCACCTGAATGAATCCGAAAAGCTTACGCAAAGTGGAGACAAAGCGAGGTAAAGATTACCAGTTGCGTGTATCTTGTGGAGTTGCTTGGCAGCTTGCGTTGGGCTTCACCGCACTGCCAGTTTGGCAAACGCTTCCCTGGCTCCGCCGCACATACTATTTGCCCTCTTCCTTCCGCTTGCTACTTTTTGGAGCCCACAGGCATAGTGTACTTTAGGAACTGGTTTCCATTTCCTCCGTATCCATAGAAAGAATGCATTTTTTTTTCTTGAATTTTTTTTCTAAAAAGTTACACTGATGCATTTTGAGTACGATAAATTATCTATACCTAAAGACACTCGTGCGAAAGTTTCATTGCACTGCGTGATTAGCAATTATTAATATGTATTTTTTTTTTTTTTACAACCGAATAGTGCTTGAGAACGCCCTATAGAGTCTTCACAAAATGGCTTGGACCCTAGTCTTCCATAAGAAAAATCTCATCTGAGATTAGAGGGTTATCATCAGGCTTTAAACTTTGGTCAACTCATTGCTGAAATTGAAGTTGTCTTCCTAATTGTGGCATGTGAAAAAGAGCAGTGGCACCTGCCGCGTGCCGCACGCGAGTTTCATTGGTTTATGTGCGTTTTAAATTTTATCATGTTCAAAGGTGACAGAAGCTAAGGGTCTATTGTTTTTTGGGGAATGCAGGTAATTCTGGTGGAGCGTACAGCACGACTGGGGGGTTGGGTACGTTCCAGCCGGTTTCCCGACGGCACTGTCTACGAGCATGGACCCCACGGCTTGCGCACAGCCGGCGAATCCGGTCGTAACACACTGCAGCTGGTGAGCAATGTTGGAGAATCGTTTCCCTGTAGAGCGCATGTCATAGCATCCAGCAAGATGCACCACCAGGCGGGTTTCCACATGTTTTAGGTTGTCAATGTTTAAATTTTAACAAGAAATAATGGGGTATTATAGGTATCTAGTGTGCCTGGGTGTTACTTGAGCATGTAAAGATTAAGTGAAAGCATTGTGTAAAGGAGCAAACAGGTGCAAAGAAGCTAGAAAAAGTGATGTAGTATACAACCTCAATGTGCACACTAATTTTTTCTTATCTTGACGAGTATATTGCATAATGCCAAAGCTTGTGGCATAATGCCACAAGCTTTGGCATTATGCATCCTTAAAAAAATCTGGATGAAAATATAAGTAAATTCAAGTAGCCAGCATAATTTTCTATTTATGTTTACACTCCAGTTCAATATTTGGTACACATTTCTTTTTTTACTGTTTGTCTGTATGTGAATAGCAAAAGACAGCTACGCTGTTCATGAGTAATGAAAGAAAAAAATAAGGGGCATTTTTCGAGCAAGACACATAGCAACTTTAGTGTTGTATAAATACACTACTGATCACTGAGAGCTCGGACTAGGAGTTGCAATAAGCTGCAAAAGTTTCAGCCCACACTGTCTTCTGAATATAGAGTTAAAGGCAGGCCTTATAAACACCTAGAAATGTATGACATTTGCTGTCAATGAAGGCTATGCCATCATCTCACTGAAAGTAGGAAAATGACCTGCGAGGCGGTTGTGCAATAAAAAAAAAAAACATGCTGTGGACATACTTAGCATCGTCTCCAAGAGCTTGCCAACTGAGGATTTTGGCAGTCACCTATGCACCATAGTGTGAGGGGGGCTGGTGAAACTGCCCCGTCCTCCCCAGTCCAGCCCCGATTTTGGCCTTGAGCGAGTGGCTTCCCCTGTTTGGGCTGTTCCATCAAGTGCTACGTTGTGAAGCAGTTCTTAGGCTGCAGCGAGGATAGTGCTCCCGTTAGATGAGGCATAGTCCGTGTGTTCCGTATTAGTTTGGAGAACTGCTTTTCGCTGATTTCAACACTTTCTAATCGTTGACTCGGGCATGGGCAGACAAAGAGCAGCACGAAAGGCCCAGGGATAAAGTCTCGAATTTATGCGTCTGTGTCTAATGCTTTTGTTTCCCTCGTACCTCTTTTTTTTTTCCAGCTCGGGGGAGGCCACATTGATACACCACTCGATAGCCTGCCTTTCTAACTTTTTCCGCATGAATTCTTTCAATTTCCATACCTGGAAATTGTATTCCGGGTACAGAATACATTGTGTTCCGTACCAAACATTGAAGGAACCTGGGATGTGGGCGGCAGTGCAGAAAAAGTACAAGCCGGAGTGAAAACACAGAGTGCCCGCTTATAGTAAGCAAAACCTAGCCGATGACTCGGAGGTCTACACCTAAATGGGACTCAACATGTCGATTCAGGTACTTTGTTCAGACTTTAGCGGAGTAGAAAAATGAAATTACTTACAACCAAGGAGTGCTTGGAGCAAGCAACTGCCCATTACAGTGTGTCCCACACCATTTTTAGATTAGACCTTGCGGGCTTCTTCTAACTCCGATTCTCACAGACCCTGTTCCCTGACGAATATGACACTGCAATACTTTGCTCTCGGCAAAAGGGTTTATTCACTCACTCATTGCCTTGGGGGGGTTTCGGGATCGGGGGACGGTCATCAGCGAGGCCGGGGGAAAGTCCGCTGCCACAGCAGCTTCTCCAAGTCCCAGCGGTGGTTGTCCACACCGCATCATGGGGACGTCATCGTCCAGGGTCGCTTTTCGGGCCGTTTGTCAAGTCCGCCACTCGACGTAGTGCCTGCACTCCCCGCGCTAGCGTCCACCGCCGTCCGAGCTCGCCTCCGTGGCTCGTTGATCCCCAAGTCGGCAGCAAGAGAGAGACGGCAGCCAGAGCGAGGTTCCTTTGTCTCCGTTCCCCTTCTTATATCCTCGCCCCCCACCGATTACGTGCCCACCACGACCCGTCCACGTGTGCACGCACGCCCCCGCCACGGTCCCCGCACGACCCCCGAGCGCGGATTACGGTGACGCTCCTCCGTCCATGGATCCGGGTCAGCAGGATTGTTCCACCCTGGCAGGGCGCGGGCAGAACGGGCGAAGGGGCAGGGGAAATGCGGGGAAGACGGGACTCCAGGGTGGGGCGGCCGGACGTATAAAACACCTCCTAGAAGACAAGGCCGTAGCGCTCTTCTCGTGACGTCGCAGAGGAAGGCCATCGGGTGCGCGCGTCGAAGCGAAAGCAACGCGTGTGGATCGATCGTCGTAGCGCGTTTTTAGTCACATACGCGTGTCATATTAGCTAAAATGAAAGCTGCACATAGCAACGGGTATAGAAAACATTTTATTACACAAGCAAAATATTACACCACTAAATAATCGGTACGAAATGGCACGAGGTATGCGTATAAGACGTCTATGAAAAAATGTGATTGTTTTAAGTCGAAAACATTGAGTCATGCAATTATTGTTGTAGGAGTGCATATTTTATACAGAAATACTTCGACAAAATGGCGAGACACGCAGTGATTTGGAAACAGCAAAACAGAACAGTTAAAAATCAGGTAGACGTAGTCAACGCGGACAAGGCAAGACAAGTGTTTCTCACGATCATGTAAGCGACGTTATCGCGTGAAGTCACTGAATTCTGGCATCATACCCCGGCCACACGGCAAAATTAATGTAATTTCGATTGAATGACATTATGGGGTCGACAAATCCGCTTGCGGCGCTCGTATAATCACTCAAGACCGCGAGCTGATTAAATCCTCTATGACTGAATGAAAATATATTAACTTTTCCGTGTGGCAGGGGTACTGAACGTACTACTTAGTCTACTAATTTACCTGTCCCTATGGGCTCAAGCTGTCTTAGAACAAAACATAACTTATTTTGTATATAATAATACTATTACCTTAATAGTTAAGATTCTAGTATAAATGCGGTAAAGGAAATACAATAACCTTAGTATAAATAAACACAGAACCACAAACAACACACTTTCAATAATCACGCAAACTTGTTTTTCACCTTCCAGTGAAAACTAGATTACCGCGCATATTTACAAATGTCGACGCAACTGCATACGAATAACGACAAAGAACAAAATCGCAATCTATTATGCGATTAAAAAAAACGATTGCAGCATTTTACTTGCGTCCTACATGACCAAGAAGCCCGTAAATAAGTTATTTCTCACCTGTCGATCGTATCCATACGTCCCACAATATCCGTGACGAACACATTTGAACACAAACTCCAAGAAGCCTCTCTCTGTCGAGAGAGAGGTCTATCGATTAATTGACCAGAGTCTTCGTTGGCTAGTTGTCACACGTCACTCAAACCGTAGCAGGACTTGTTTCACGAATCCACGTAAATGCCGTAGTATCAAGCGAACACAAAAAAAACTACCCGAGAATGCGGTGATGACAGAAATACGACGGGAAACAAGTCTCAAAAGTACCACACACGAGAGCAGCGGCGACGAAAGGCTTAACGTTGTCGACCCATCTCTTGCTGGTGTGCGCTCCCTGCGACAATGACTGGATTTCTTTTCGCTTTCCTTCCCTTCTGAGATGTCTCAGCGTTCCTTTTCAGACAGTCAGCAGCTCGCACACAACGTAAATTTACCAGAATCAGAGCCATGTGGCATCGGCAGCATCGCAGCCGGTCCTTTCGAAAAGTGTGGGGTGCTGCGGAACTGCACGTAGTCCCGCGGTTACGGGGGTACTCATAAATATAAATTTGGTACTCTCAACCTTGGTAGCGTGTTGTATATTACGTTTATATTATATATATAATAAATTGTACAAGACTGCGCCTTTAAAACATATATTAATGTCGGATAAACGCGCATGAACGAACACCTCTGCGCCGCTTGTCATGGAACATTTTTTTCACGTCGATAGCGTATTCTCACGTAGTTGCGCCATGAACTTCCTTCCTCCGCCATTGTGATGTAACCTCTCGGAGCGCTATGGCCTTGTCTTCTAGGAGGTGTTGACGTATCCCCACACCTCCCCTCCCTCAAGGCTCGGACTCCGGGGTGCTTGAGGTTGCGTGGTCCCCAGGACCCTTGGCAAGGAGCTCGCTCGTCTGAATGTCACCGATGACGACGAGCACCCTCGATGATGATGATGGCATCAGACCAAGCAGGTCAGCGGTGAATGTCCATTCACTGGGAAGCTCGTGACCGACGGAACACAGTCCACGAACTGGTCCGGAGCACCACAGCTCACAACACGGATGGGCACACAGGCACACACAACACGCCGGCACTTAAAGTTCGCTTCCGTCCCCAATATTCCAGACAGCGAATCGCGCAAAAGCGAATACCGGCACTCTATGCCAGACAGCGCGACGAAACCAAAATCTTTCGATCGCGTTGGACATGCCACGAGATAAAAACAAAACTCCTCATTTCAATACCAACAGGCAGGCAATCATCAAAAACGTCACACTACATGTTCAAGAGGTACATAAGAGAAAAACCATTCCTTAACTAAAAAGTGTGAGCACTCACTGCATACCCAAATCGTGCATATGCCCACTATACAACGTTAGCTCCTATAAAACTGAACCGCATTCTTTTGAAACAGAAAACGATCTACCAGAGTGTCAAAACCGGACACCTCTGACAACAATATTAATCTCTAACACACTCACAAAGAACGCACAAAACCTAAAAAAGTAACAATAATCTCCCGTAAAACAGAAACGGCCACAAATCTTGTCCCGTTCGCGAGGTGCGACTCGGAAAAAACACGCTAGCAACAGTAGCAATTACCCAAGACAGGCACCCATGCACTCGGCGTTCGCGACACGCGAGCTACAAACACGCTACAGCCAAGCTACGCAGCACGCCTTCATCAGAAGGGGTAATCACTTTACTGAGGAACCGTCGTTCCGTGGTACCGGCCACTTACACCAGTACAAAGGGAACTGTACCTGGATCGTGCGAACAGCAGATCTCATTGGACAGCCTATTTACACGGCTATGTCCGTAATGTCTGGGCATGTACCAGACGTTACCGCTTCACCGCTTGGAGGTGACCACCCAACAGGAGCGACGAGCTTGTAACGGCGGTCCGCACCGAACCCCGCACGGGCTCGACAACCGCGATAAGCGCATCGACGCACGTTAGAGTCCTCCCCCGGCCGAACCCCGACACCGCATAACTAAAAGGTCTTCCAGCTGATGTCAAGGCCGTCCGGGATCGAGCAATAAAAGTATGACGCGTCAACGCGTCTCGCGACTCTTCGACGTTCTCGATTCGAGCAACGTGCCCTCATACAAATGCGGTAGGTTACGCACAAAGCTCGCCCCCAACCAAGTCAACACACCGCAAAACTGAAAAGTCTTCCTGCGACTGTAAAGACAGGCAGGGTTCGAACAATATAAGTATCCCACACGCGCACCTTTCAACTTCCGCGCAACGAGCGCGATACCGAAATGCCAAATAATCTAACCGGCGGGTCTTGGAAATGGACGAGCTAATAAACTATATTTGCTCTGCAGAAACAGTTTCCGCAGCGTCGAAGTGTCTACCGCATTTACCGCCGCATTCCAACACCCGCTACCCATTCATGCAAAGGCTGCAGTTTGTACAGCGACGGGCTGACCCAACGCACAACAGTTATAGGCCGCCGACGGCCATGCCGCTGCCATAATTTCTAGGCTTCCCGGGCACGTACCCGCCGGCGTGAACCATACATTTTTCCGGGTCAACCACGCATCTGTACAGGATAAAACTATAAACAACTCGTCACATCCTCGCAAGACCGCCACTCCCCTCGTGCAGCTCTTTACTTCACGAGCACAGCTCTCCCCCCCTAGCTGTCGTTTCTTCCCTTAATCTATAATTTCACTCTAACCCAGGTTTCTGCACGACCAATTACGCTCTCTACGCCCTCGCGTCCCAACACGAACCCAACCACGGCCGAGAGCCGTACTGTATCCGGCGGCAGCGCATAGCGCGCGCTAGCCGCCGCTCCTCCGGAGACTGAGAAAACGAAATGAAAGAGTAACTTCCGCCGTGAGGCTCAACCCTCGATATGGCGGTGTGAGGATCCGGAACCAACTGTGTGCACAATTAAACGGGATCAACCTCACGACTCTACAACCAGAAACGCACGGGTCATGCCCATCGCGTCAGACTGGACTCCACGGAGCATTACACACACACAGCCATTGATAAGTGAATACGGAAACTCTGTGGGTTTTCTGCATTCCGACGTCTGCACACCAGACATCACGTACCCGGCAACGTTTAGGGGGTTTCTTAGACCCTAAGTGTAGCCTCTGGCCACAAGGTACTCGTTCAAAGCGATCTTGGTCGGAATCTCAAGAGCGCATCCGTACCTTGAGACGCTGTCAATTAACGAAGCTCAAAACCACGCTGACAGCTCAAGCAAGGCCAACTGGGAGCTAGCATGCGGTCAAACTGAGACGCTAGTCTCCTTCCGGACAAAATGCAATTCGGTAATAGTTTCCAAAAACAGTCCGTGCAACCGCCATCCGCAATGGGAGCGTTCTTCACCCAGAGTGATGCCTCTAACACGTCCGATCGGTAACAAGCGTTCCAAACCATTACATCGATACGCGAGCAAAGGCGGTTAGGCGCATCACATCCCCCAAACCGTGAGCTGGCATCCTTCCCAACAGATGTGAACGGCCGGAGGCGTAGGTGGGGTGACCACCGACGCTACAGCCCTCGAGAAGTGCGGTGATTTCGACCCACACAGCGCTCTTGTGCAGCAGGATCAACCTGCCAGCATCCAACGGTGCGCTGAACAGCAAATACTCATGGTGCTTCTTGTAATGGGGATAAGCAAATTCCTGACAGGCTGGAGAAAAGGGTTAATCCCTTAAAACAGCGGTCAAAATCCGCGCCTCCTAGTCAGACAGGCGATAATGTCAGGGCCTCCGTGCGGCACTCCCGCGACAAAGATGACCCCCCAAAAAGAGTGGGAAACAGTGCCCGAGCTCGCCTCCATGACTCGTTGATCCCCAAGTCGGCAGCAAGAGAGAGACGGCAGCCAGAGCGAGGTTCCTTTGTCTCCGTTCCCCTTCTTATATCCTCGCCCCCCACCGATCACGTGCCCACCATGACCCGTCCACGTGTACACGCACGCCCCCGCCACGGTCCCCGCACAACTCCCGAGCGCGGATTACGGTGACGCTCCTCCGTTTACGAATCCGGGTCAGCAGGAATGTTCCGCCCTGGCAGGGCGCGGGCAGAACGGGCGAAGGGGCAGGGGAAATGCGGGGAAGACGGGACTTGAGGGTGGGGAGGCCGGACGTATCCCCACAACCTATATGTAACTCAACACATAGGTTTGGGTACTTTTTCATATTCAAACTTCAGTGGAGTCGAGAAAAAAGTTGTATTTTTTGCCCACAATGTGCGAGGGAACGAAAGCGATAGCTGTAGCATGGTCACGCAATGCGGGTGGAGTGGTACCGTCACATACCTGAGGATGGAGGTGCGACTTGGTTAATTCTCATGGCCGTCGTGGTTGTCGTCCTGGATGCCTCTGATGACCGCCACCAGTGGTTCGTGAAGTAAGTGGGCAAGTGCGGTGGAAGTCTCTAAAACCAACATTACGCATAGCAACTGGATACTGCCAAAGTGGGATCCCGTGTAACGTGAGTAATGCAAGTGTTTGAAGCAGACGACAGGAAGACTCTCCCTTTGTCGAATAGTTGTTGGTGGGGTGCTGGGGCTCCCCTCCCTTCTCTCTCCGTGCTGCGCGGCCGTAGGGAAAGCCCGACTTCTCTCTTCTTGCGTCAAGAGGGGAGAGGGAAGGTTTTTCCGTAGCAATGACGACAGCCCACGGAGCTTGAAGTGTCACCTGTAAAGCTATTGCTTTAAAATGAAATTACTTACAATCGGGCAGCACTTGGATCAAGCAACTATCTTTCTACAGTGTACCACCAACCATTTTATATGTGACATTGTACTTGATGCACTTCGTCACTATCTACTGCCACTTGCTGCAGGTGGAAGAGCTCGGCCTTCACAGCCAGGTCCTGCCGGTAGCGTCCAGTTCCCCCGCGGGGAAACAGCAGCTGGTGCTGGCAAAGGGGAGGCTGGGTCCGCTGCCCATCAGTTTCGGCCGGCTGCTGTGGCCGGGTTCCCCCTTTACAACTCCGCTGCTGGTGCCCCTCCTCAAGGACCTTTTCTGGGCGGGCACCCCGGGGGAAAACCAAGACGAGAGCGTGCACGACTTCACCGTGCGCCGATTCAACCGCCAGGTGCGTCTGGGCAGAGCATGCTCTGCTTTGTTTTCTGGAAAGCTGTCTCACTTTCTGGACAAGGAGTATCTCTAGCGGGCACTCAGGCACTCGGTTTACAGCTGAAGGAGAGGAGGAGATAAGGTGCGTTGAGAGGGATTGATCATTGTTGCGAGAAACTTCCGCCCTTCCAGCTGCTCCTCAGTCCTGAGCAGACGTCTTGACCTTGTGTTCCTTCTTCGTTGAAACACGTCTAGTAGTTATTAGCTGAAAAAAATAGCATACCTTCGAGGTATTTCCTCCTTCCTTTTTTGCAGGCCAAGTCCTCAATCAAAAAGAAGTGGTGGATTTCTGTAAACAGTAGAAAAGATAAGACTGCAGTTGGTAGGACTTGCAGATGATGCCGGTGTTTGGTGTTTAACACCTGAACACCAGATTGTCAACGGAAATCCTAGCTGAAATTAAATCCATGCAAGAAAAGCAACGTCATACTGACTCTGTTTTAGCAACCCTCAAATCTAAAATCGACGACATCGACCGCGAAATTTCGAGCCTTAAAACAATCAAAGAAGACGTGGCTGCGGTATCAAAAATCACTGCAACAAACACATCCGCGATAGCGGAAATGACACGAAGGTTTACCACTCTTGAGGATCACTCGCGACGAAACAACTTGCTTTTCTTTAACCTACCTGATGCGCGTGGTGAGACCTGGAAGCAGTCTGAAGAAAAAATAGTTTCCTTTTGCGAGGAAAATCTTGGTGTCAAGATACTCCCCCCTTGGATCGAGCGAGCGCACAGAATTGGGTTTTTCAAAGATAACTCCACGACAGCCAGACCCATCATCGTAAAATTTAATTCTTTTAAAGATAAAGAACTCGTGCTATCACAAGCAAACAGACTAAAAGGTACAGATTTCCGTTTGAGCGAGGATTACTCGGAAGAGACCCGTAAAGCACGAAAAGAGCTCCTTTCTTTTGCAAAAGCACAAGCTCGTGACTTCAAGCTTCGCCACGATAAACTAATTATCGGAAATTTGCGATATATTTTTGACCGGGAAACCGCACGTGTTATGCAGCTTCCCTCATAGCTACAGGAAACCAGAAAGTCATCCTCCCAACAACAGAAAAGACCATTATCAACCCTAAACTTTTTTATTGCCAATGTTAGAAGCGTTTATGCCAAACAAGAAGCGCTGCATTCTGCTGTCCACTCCTGCTCTGCAGACGTTGTTATCATCAGTGAAACTTGGCTAACTCCGGATATTGCAGATAGCGAATTAATCCTAAGTGACTCGTATTTTATCATCCGGAAAGATAGGATTGAGCGGCGGGGAGGGGGAGTGTTGATTGCTGTTAGAAGTACTTTGCATGTTGAAAAGTGTGATATAATATCAAGTTTTGAAGGTGTTTGGGTAAGGATTAGGACGCCTACTGTTTGTATTTTAGTAATCGCATGTTATAAGCCACCTGACTTGTCAGACTTCTCGCCATTACTTTATGATTGCTTAGAGACCCTTGCTCGTTCTTATCCAAATGATCTCATAGTTCTCTCCGGTGACTTTAACTACCCCGAAATAAAATGGCCGGTTGTTCCAAATGTCATATCTTTTGATGCATGGTATAAACTTTCAAAGCAAAGTCGGGATTTTGTTGATGTGATAAACGCCTTCTTTCTCTTTCAAATGGTTGACAAGCCAACTCGTAACTCTGCTTTCTTGGATCTTTTTTTCATTTCGGAGCCAGATTTTATAGCTTCGGTAAACTTTATGGAACCGCTCAGTGATCACACTTCCCTAAATGTTGAACTTGCTCTTCCTACGCAAAAGCACAGTCCGCTGGTAAAAGCTATATATGATTACTCCAGGGCTAACGTCGATGACTTCTGTCGTAGCTTGCAATCTTTTTCAAGTATTTACATGGTTGGCTTTGACTCTAGGACAGTTCACGAAAACTGGAGATTATTCAAACAAAAGCTACTTGATCTATGTGATCAGTTTATTCCAAAAATAAATATACAGTCTTCTATTGAGAAACCCTGGTTTTCGAACCGCCTTAAACGACTACTGAATAAAAAGCGGAGACTATTTCAAACAGCTAAATTGTCTTTGTCCCCTTCTGCGTGGACAAAGTATGACGAATTCCAATTAGTATGCAAGACAGAGATACGTCGAGCGCAGAACAAGTTTTACAACGAAGACCTCCGCAACCTTATGACAGCTAACCCCAAAAAGTTCTGGAAAGCGGTTAACCCTAAGCAAGTGTCGAAGCCTCACCGATTCACTAATCCTGCGGGAGACGAGCTCGATGTGGGTGCAGTGTGCGAGGAATTCAGTCGTTTTTTTAGCGAGATGTTTTCTGAAGATATTTTCCCCTTACCAGAGCATTCGCCTAATTACGACATAGCCACACAAATGTGCCCAATCACTATGTCTGTGAGCGGAATTCAGAAACTAATAGAACATCTCCCAACAAATTCTGCCCCCGGTCCTGACAATATCACGACGAAGCTACTTAAGCTTAGCAAATGTGAATCTTCCGTAATCCTCTGTTCTATCTTTGAGCAATCCCTAACTAGTGGCCAAATACCTGCTGATTGGAAAAGGGCAAAAGTCACCCCGGTCTTTAAAAATGGTCAAAAGAATGAATTCACGAACTATCGACCCATCTCTCTGACGAGTGTTCCGAGTAAATTAATGGAACATGTTTTATTTTCAAATATCATGGATCACCTGTCAGCCAACAGCCTACTTTTTGTAAACCAGCACGGCTTCCGTCGGTCTCACTCTTGCGAATCCCAACTTTTTGAATTTGTAACTGATATACACAGTAACCTGCATTTTAAAACTGAGACGCATGCAATTTTTATTGACTTCCAAAAAGCATTCGATAAGGTGCCGCATCATCGACTAGTTCTAAAATTACGTGCTTTCCAAGTGGAGCCATTCGTGATAGACTGGATATCGAATTTTCTTTTTAATCGCTCGCAAAGTGTTTGTTATGATTACAAATCTTCATCCCATCAGAAAGTAAAATCGGGAGTGCCGCAGGGGACCGTGCTGGGTCCATTGCTCTTTCTTTTGTACGTGAATGATTTACCCGATAGTATTCTTTCAACCATCCGTTTGTACGCTGATGATTGTGTGGTGTATAGGAAAATATCTTGCATTAGTGATTGCATTCAACTTCAAAATGACCTGATTACCCTAGAAACATGGTGTAAAAAATGGCAAATGCAAATCAACATCCTAAAAACAAAATTCTTAAACTTCAACACTAAGCGAAGTGCCACAGTGTTTAGCTACTCTCTTTTTAATACACCCATTGAACATGTCCACACGTACAAATATCTCGGGGTTCATTTCACGTCAAACTTATCATGGGAAGCTCATATTAATCAGATCGTTGTAAAGGCAAACCAAAGCCTCGGTTTTTTGAGACGAACACTACATATGGCTAACCGGGAGACAAAACTCGTAGCTTACACTGCCCTTGTTCGCCCGCAGCTCGAGTATGCATCTACAACATGGAACCCCCACCAGGCTTACCTAATTCAGAAATTAGAGTCGATCCAAAGCAGGGCAACTCGGTTCATTCTTAAAAACTATACACACACTAGCATTACTACGCTAAAAAAAGAACTCGGCCTTCCACTGCTCGCGGAAAGAAGGAAACTGACCAGACTAGTTTCATTGCACGCTTTGTATTATCTGGCCCCTTTAAAGAGAGAATTGTACTGTCCTGCGGCTCATCACATTTCTCCTCGTACAGACCATTCTCAGAAAGTTCATCTGGTAACACCAAGGACCAACCTTTTTAAATTCTCTCCACTGCAATTATCACTTTCAGAATGGAACTCTCTGCCAGAACATATTGTTACAATTCAAGACTCATCTGGATTCAGAGCTGCACTTGCTACTTTTCTCGATATTTAGCAACCTTTAATCCTGTTTTTTCCTTTCTTTGTTTGTTTTTGTTTGCTGCCAAAGCCCCCCCTTATGTAAAGCCCTACGGGCGCTTTAAGGGAACAATAAATGAAATGAAATGAAATGAAATCCACCAGTAGAAGAGAAAAAATATGAAATAAACTCGCGTTAAAAAAAAAGAAGAAAAGAAGGGCTGAGAGAACGGAAAGGGTTGGCACATCTTTGGCTACGTTCTGAGGCAAGACTACCTGTGGCTGGTGAGGCCCTGCCCTGGACGACTACGGACCTCCGGCGCGTCTTTGGCTACGTTCCAAACGCTCCAAAGCAAGACTACCTGTGGCTGGGAAGACTGTGGACTTCCGAGGCATCTTTGGCTATGCTCTGAAGCAAGACTACCCGTGGCCGGTGACGTTTCTGCCCGGGAGGACTATAAACCCCCGGTGCATCTTTGGCTATGCTCCGAAGCAAGACTACCTATGGCTGGGAAGACTATGGACCTCCGAGGCATCTTTGGCTATGCTCTGAAGCGAGGCTACCCTTAGCCGGTGACGTTTCTGCCCGGGAAGACTATAAACCCCCGGTGCATCTTTGGCTATGCTCCGAAGCAAGACTACCCATGGCTGGGAAGACTATGGACCTTCGAGGCATCTTCGGCTATGCTCTGAAGCAAGGCTACCCGTGGCCGGTGAAACTTCCGCCCGAAAAGACTATGAACCTCTAACACACCTTTGGCTGCGCTCCGAAGCAAGACTACCCGTGGCCGGTGACGCTCTTGCCCGGGAAGACTATGGACCTCCGAGGCATCTTTAAATACACTCCAAAGCAAGACCACCCGTGGTTGGTGACACTCCCACCCGGGAAGACTAGGGACATCCGGCGCACCTTCGGCTACATTCCGAAGCAAGACTATCTGTGGCTGGTGATGCTCCCGTCTGGGAAGACTACGGATATCCGGTGCATCTTTAACTGTGCTCCGAAGCTAGACCACCTGTGGCCGGTGAAGCTCCCGCCAAGGAAGACTGAACCTCCGGTGAATATTTGGCTATGCTCCGAAGCAAGACTACCCATGGCTGGGAAGACTATGGACCTTTGAAAC